CTGGTCGGCCTTGGGTGCTAGGTCTCTTCGCGTCAAGGACGATGAGCTCGAAGACGAGGATGCGCCTCCGAGGTGGGTGGTGCCTGCCCGTGGAGGGACCAACGTGTAATGTGAGTGGCTCGTTGCTGCCCCGGGTGGACTCGACGCCCATCTTTTTGGCCTTGGCGCTATGACTTCATGGTCACGATAAAGCACCTTGAAAGCCAGTCTCTGAGCCGTCTGGGGGCATTGGACTGGCTGGACCCAGCCCACCTGCCTTCCTTGTACCTGACCCCCCGCAGGCGTGCTCTTTCGGCCCAATGGGCGGGGCACGTTGAAACTTAATTGGGGCCTCAAGGTCTTCTCTGGGGGTTCAGTTTGGGGTGTCGCTCTCCTATGAAGGGGGCTCAACGAGTCGACGACCGGGATGGGGGGCTGCAGATGAGCACGGACTTGACGGTCGCAGAAACCAAACACGACGTCAGCCTTGGCGGCTCTGCTGCGGAGCCTGTCACTGGTTCTTCGGCGCGCCTTGGTGGGGGGTGGCCGCCTGCAGCCCCACATCCGATCTTGGACGTCTCCTCGCCCGCTCCGGGTGTGGGTGGTGGGCAAGGAACAGAAGAACAAGACGTGCTGGGAGTGCGCCGCCGCCCACACCAGCGCCTGCCATACACGGCCCTGTCATACACGACCCTGCTATATTCGGCCCATTCAACAGTACGCAGTCTGCCTACACGTCGCCAGCCTTAGCAACGACCTTGCGGCTGCTAGCAGGTTTTTGCTGTCTTGGAAGACCCTCAAAGTCGGCAGTAAGTCAGGGGCAAGGTCCCCAAAGTTGGGTCAGAGGGCAGGTAGGCAAGCAAGCCTCGGGTGGGTTCTTTCGGATCCCAGAGAGTCAAGATGCCAGCGAGGCAAGGCTGACCGCCAAAACTGCTGGCGAGGTCGTCAGGCGGAAAGGATGGAGGAGAAAGCACAGACAGCTGGCATCCCGCCGCGATTCCGCCCGGGTTCTTCGGTTCCCCTCGTATGACACTCTCCTTTCCTGCCGCCGTTCCGCCAACTGATCACTATGAATACCTGGAACAATTCTCACTTCTAAGTACGACGCCTTCGCATTCGTCCTCGGATCAATCAAGCTCTCGAGGGTCCTGAACGCCACGCGTGCCCTTCGGCCACACGATCTGGCCGACGCCGAATGTCGTGTTTCCGCTCGCTGCATGTCTCATCGGGCTTTCTCCTCCCACGCGGTTTCAAAGGGTGGAAGGGGGTTCATTTGAACTCCTGAATGCGAGGTCCTACCCAGATGCAACCCCAACAAATGCAAACGACTCCGGCGGTTATGAACCCCCTAAGCTTCGGCTCCATTCCTCACATTCTCCATTTCCGAACGAACAACACTGGGATGCAGCACAACAACATCCCGTTGCTTCCAGGGATGCAACAGTCATCAGACTTGCATGCCTGATGGCTGCCCAGCGCACAACGAAACATGAAACTGAAAAAAATACTCGTTCTGCGACCCCTCGATCTCCGCATCCCCAATCATGGCCACCATGAGAGCGAACTGTTGCATTTGATGTTTTTTCCCCCTAACCCGGAGTCTGCAAAGGCCCCAACCAGGCAAGCATGTCAAAATCGGTGCGTTTCTGTTGCCTCTCCTCTCCTCCCCTCCCCGCTCCTGCTCCGCCGGTTTCACTTCCTTCTTTCTTCGTGTCATTTCCATCCCGGGCGATGCTCCGCTCGAGTGGGGCCGCTCCTCTCCTCCGGTCGTTCTCGGTGTCGGCCTGGAGTGTCGCTGCTTCAGCGCGCATGCCACTAGCGCTGAGGGACGTGGGAGCGTGGCCGTCCCTGTCGAGCGATTGGATGATCGGAAAGTTGAGAATGAGGTCTGTCGAACAAATCATCCACCACCTTGATAAGGGGGCCCGCCCTGCCTGGGTGCTGCCGCTGCCACTGCCGCTGCCGCCGCCGCCGCCGCCGCGGCCATGGTGTCCTGTGCTGGGTGCCGCCTCAAAGCTTCCGAACCGGTCTGGATTCTCGGCAGTGGGCCCTGCAAATTGAGGCAGTGCAAAGGAAGGGTGGGAAGACAAGGAGCCGTAGAGAGATTTGGCGAGTTTGGCACGCACAACCAACATTGAGTCGGCAGCCGCACTCCACTTTTCCCCATCTCTGCATCTGCACCTTGACAGAAGCGTCGTAATCCAAGTCGTTGCGTGATTGCGGAGGCAGGGTTCCTAACTGGTTCGCGGAAGGCTTGGGGAGGGTTGCCCTGCCTGCGGGTTTTTTCAGATAATGGCTGTTGGGAACCATGGGCAAGATGGTGAGCCATGTACATGTAGAGCTCGCATCTATGATGTAGTGCCCCAGATTGGGGCGAATCCGGCGGGGGAATAATGATTGCACACACACCAATCCTCCCATTTCGTAGATACTAGGAATAGGACATGAAGAAGTCGACTTGTGGTCCTCGAAGTAGCCACCACGCATGATGGGCTGCCGAGACGATGGCCAAAAAGGACCTGGGGTTCGATGGGTCGATCGAAAGGGGGTTAACTTCATCTGCAACCCGGATCGCATCGATCCTCGCTGCTCCTGGCTCTGGCTGCCGGGTTGAGTTGGGACTTGACCTGGGTTTCCTGGCGCTACGATGGGTCTGGCTTAGCGCGAGCCGGCCGGACGGCGCCAAGAGATAACCTTTGCAGGGTGCGTGTCAGCGGCATCTTGAAGCGCGGCGCTATCACCAGCACTACTACACGAGGCAGGCGGGGTTAGCTGAAGAAAGCAGCCAGTCAGAGAGCCCAATCAGCAAGAGCCGTTGGGTGCACTGGCTGGGTACGCTGGGTTGGATGCTCGCGCCAAGACGCTATGTTGATGAGATACGCTTACAGAGTCATCTTGCTCACCTCGGGCCTGTCGCTACGGTGCTGAAGTGGCGGGGGGCGGATGTACAGGTAAAAGTGATAAGTAGTCACGCGGGTTACTAACGGCGAGACCGGAAGTTCGAGCGCTGGTCATGAATCGAAGGAATACTTGGCACTGGCTCTGAGAAGGAACAACAGAGCACGTGCTGCAATGAGTGGCAGTAAAACGTCCCCCTCCTGACCCTGAAGAACCCCCCAAAATGGCCGTGGCTCCATTTTTGGTGATTCGATGGGCGGGTCGTGCCTGCGACCCCGCGACAAGCCATTGTAGCCATTATGTAACGGGGGCAGGTGGTAAATCTCGGCTTGAGCGTACCTGCCCAGATTTGATGGAAGTGAAAACGACATCAGAGACAGTCATGGAAGACTGGTCCAACATGCACATCCTGTACCACAGGATCCGGGTCCTCGGCCTGTGTGAACGGTCTGCTAACACAACTCTTGGAGGCCCCCGCAAACCAGATGACATGAAGGGAAGGGGGGTGGGGGGGGGTGAATACTGATTGACGAGCAGCGACCCCAAAAGTTTACACCAATCAACCCAAGCCCGTGGTCTGCAAAATCATCCTCCACCCATCGATCCCATCGCGGCATTGCCGTGTCCTCTTGGCATGGCCATGAAGGCGAAGTCGGCTCGATACGATGTTGAACCACCACCTCAATGACTCTCTGGCACCTTGCCAGCCACTGGCCGAGCCTCAACCTGCAAGACATGCTGCTCAGGTGTCGTCATCCGGGAACATGGGTGGCAACTACACAAATTGCTGGCCTCAGCCTAATGCCTCCTCACGGGTGACGCGGGCGGCCCTCAGTCCCCACGGCCGAAAGCTTCGTCATGATGCCACATGACCGGGGCATAATACCTGGGTTGACCCAATCGTCCGTCCAATTGAGGGTCCTGGGAAGAGACCCAGCGAGCGGCCAGCCTCCCCGCCCCCTTCACCGAATGTTCCATGGAAGCATGGAAGGGCTAGGTACGTACTCGAGGAACCCGTCAGATCAGCCTCTGCCATTTTTGTTCCAGACTTCCTAGCGTGGTCGGCAACTCAATTCGATGGGCAATCGGTGAGATAACCTTAACACGACCGCCTTTCGAAGCACCTGATGCACCTCGAAAACCTTTCCCACCGTGTGATTTGCCTCACGAGCACATGCAGAGGTTTTCTTCAATCAACGTCACACCATTTGCAGCCCATGTCGTAGTCATCGGGGGCAGAAATGCGATGGCTTTGACGGATGCACCACCCCGCGGGATGGTCGCTACATCATCTTCCATCACGTCGCGATCTGCCCCATTAGGGACATATCACTGGTCTGCGGCGATAAAGGGAAACAGCCATTTGGGCTTCAGTGCGGGGTACAAATGGCGACACATGCTGTCCCTTACGGAGGGGCTGATCCATGGGGCAGCCTGAGTGAAGTTTTTTTTCACGCCTCCTACGGCACAGTCACATAGATGAGCCGACCACAGCATATGGTACCCCTCCTCGTCGCTGTCGATAACCCGTCCAGGAAGGTCGGGCCCGGCGATTTGTCGAATGAAAAAGATTTCTCTTAGTCAACGAAGCGATGTGAGCCATGTAACAATCGTCTGAGACACAATCCCCACATGTCTTTTTCCTGACCTACCTCATCCGCGACGACTCCGACCGCGACGCATCGTTAAACTTGGTTTATTGGCTAGAGACAGCACACACGCGAGGCACGAAACATCATCGGCAAATTTCGGCTACCGTCAAAGTTGGACGGACAAACGATATTTTACCCTTTGTCAAAAATGGGGATCTCTCTTCACCGCCGTCACATTTCCAAGCATTGTGCCCCAGTATTCCTACCGGCGGGCTCAATGCCCAGCACGACGGCTTCAGTTTCATCCCCCTCGGCCAAGTCAAACCCACCATGTATCCTTTCAGTGCTTTGAAATATGCCCTTGGAAATTCACCATGATTGTATGGGCACGCAGGAGCCCAGACAGCGATGTCGGACACCTCATGACGGGTCTCAGAAGGTTGTCAGTTGGTCAGTAGATGTCCGTCTGTCCTGCAAGGCATCATCTTGCACAACAGATTGAAAGCTATTCTAGACCAGTGCGCTGTTGATTCGTTTCCTAACCCCGCCATGCAACCTTGATGGGCGTTTGTCTGCCCGCAGTCCAGAGGACCTGCCTACCTTAGGCTGGCACCCTCCATGTATACACGAATTATCGCAATCAAGGATGGCTAAACAAGAATAAAGATAATCAATCGAGGTGCACGAGGACCCTGAGCTGAGTTCCAGGTGTCCCCAGACTCGCGGGGTTAGGCACAGGACTAATGACCAATAGATCAGCGAGCCACACATTGGTCTCGCTGCCGAGCAGGGCCTGGTCAGGCGACGGATTGCCCAATCTGGCGCAAGGCTCCCGGCTTCCGCCACTACATAGCGAGAGCAAGGCGACACCCCCTCTCAAGCCAAACTGCAAATAAGAACGAGAGGGGCATTGCACCCCCCGGAGGAACCCTCCATGCCGAATGAGAGGACCGTGGTCCCCAAACATCACGCAATGACGGGCAGAACGTACCATATCAGCGAGGGAAGAGGGGAAAAAAAAGCGCACGGGAACCCTGTCACTACGGTCGGACTTCAAGTAGGTCAGCAATCAAGCAAAATGCAAAGCGGAGAGGCCAACAGGGGTAAAAGTGTCGCCAAGGGCTACCGTCGGGCTCGGCGTTGTCTTGGGATTTCTTGGGGTTTCTTGTCGTGATGGCTTGCTTGGCGTTCATATTTGATGCACCCCCGTCGTAGACCCCCAGCGTCCCGAGATGGGTGGAAGAGACACCCCTAACGAACCCCCTTCATCCTCGGGATCTTCCTGACCCCCTCAGACTATGCCAAGTCCGCCAAGCGTCGCCAAGATCATTCCCTCCAAGGACGCTGCCCCTCCAACTCTGGCTGGCCAACGCCCCGGGGAGATAGTCTGTAGACGCTACAGTGTTGAGGGAGGGGATGTTTTTCTGCACGATTCTCTTGGAAATGCTACCTGTGGGTCGACCAACGACGTCACAGATTCAGACGCCATCCCTGCTTAATACTGCTGAGCTGAGCTTGTGCTTCTCTAACCCACACCTTGACGCTCACCTCCAACCAGGGCATCACGGCCAAGAGTCTTGGCTCGGCCACCAGGATGAATGGAAAGAGGTGGAAAAGCTTCGACATGGTTGTGGGGGGCTTGCGATAGGCGTCATGGTGCTGCGCATGGGAGGGGGGATGAGGTATGCCGTGGCACATTGTTGAAGCTTGGTATACACACATTGGCAAGCCAAGCGGCATGAGCGATACGATGCGCCCGCCCGGTCAACTGAGGGTTCGAGACGACAAACTTTAACCCTAATGGCGATGAACAAGGAGGGCCGTCTGTGTGTGAGGAGGGTGGTGTGATGAACCACGCGACGCATGGGGTGGGATGAGGGGGACATGACTACCCATCTCCTCCCATCCGCCCAGGGAAATAACCTCGAGACCGGCGGCATCGCGTCCTCATTCACAAGCCAGCGGCCGCCTGACCTCTGGGCTCCAAGCAGAGCGATCATTGTATCGCCGACTCGAGGACGCGCAACCCCGGTACAGCCAGCTTGTCGATATAAGTACAAAAACGCGCCCAGCAGGAAAGGACACAGTGCCTGCGTCGTGAGATTCCTCCGCCGACTCATGTAGGCGGGCATTCTCACGACGGGCAAAACGCGGCATCAGGTTCCACGACGCGTATGCATGATTACTGCTCGCCCGACGCCGCGAAAACCTCAAAGTCACTCGAATGTGATGGTATCATCTGCCAATTGCTTACCTGTACAGTCTCCCCCAAAACACGAATCGAGTGTAGATGCCGACCTAGTCGTCAGATTCGCATCAGCACAATAAGCCAAAGGGCGAGGCCGCCATGAACGCGGTTCTCGATCCCGGCCACGATCCACGACAAAACACTGACGATAACGAGCCGACCGCCGCCGATCCATACTCCTCATCACAGGCTCCTCGACGATCACTATCAAGAACGAATCGCGTCACTGGCGCAGTCCACGAGCTGGACACCGCCCGCAGAAGAGGCGAAAATCAGGCCAGGAGCACAGATAGGCGCAGTTGAGGCGCATTCGAAGTTCCAGGGCCGATGCGCGCCTCACGGACATACCGATCACATGCCCCGACCAACAAGACCTGAACAATCAATCCTCAAATGGACCGCACTGGCATCGTGCTTCTCGCACTCGCCGCAGTCATCGTGACCTGTGGCCCGTTGTATGTCACTGTTTCTTGATTGAATTGGCTTGTTCCGCTGCCTCTTCGTCTTGCCAGCCATGACCCTCACACAATTCTGTGCATGACCCCCGCGCCAGGAACCCCGCAGTTGACAAAATCCAAGATCCCTGGCGACTGTGGGCGTAGCAGTACCGACAGGTCTCGTGACCGTTTCTTCTGCTACAACCCCAACTCCCATCCCTCCTCAATCCCCTGGCATGGATTTGAAGGGAATCGCAGCAGCCGGAAGGCGCCAAGCTGACTGATGTGTCGGATATTGTAGGTGTTGCGTGATTTTCGCGAAAATACGCCGGCATCGCAAGTCTCATCCGGGGCTCCGACAACTCGCCAATGCGCGCAACCAGCTCACGGCCGTGGGAGGCTGCAGCAACAGCCTGGGCGCCGAGAGGTTGGCGGGAAGCGGGTGGGGGACGCTGGGGGACAGGAGCACCACCACCGCCAGTGGCATCGGTGTTGGAGTCGGCGTCGGAACAGACGGCGTCCTCGTCGAATCGAGAACACCCCAGGGAGCCAATTCTTCTTGGTCAGTCCCTGCGTTTCGTTCTGTCAAGTCCTTTCTTTTTTTTTTGGCAGCCATTTGCGAAAAAAGCGGCAGACCATGCGGCAAACGAAACGACGCCAGCGGTCTTCCCTCCGGCCGCACGGCTTGGTCTCGCATCGTCTACTTGGCGGTCTGGTCAAGCCGACCGAATGACCTGCTCGATTGGGGTAAGTTTGAGGGGCGGCGGACCACAATTTCTCACACTTTTTGTATTCTCGTGAGGAACCAACAACATATGGGGAACGACTCTGATATCAGGTGAATCCCCGAGGCGGCAGAAGACGTGCCAAGCCGCTGGAGATCAGACAGGTGATGCATTCAAGTGAGTGGCAAGTGAAGCCTGCCGGAAACACGATGTTTGTGCCTTTCTGGATCTTGCCAGCATCGTAACACGATGTTCTCAAATCTACATCTTGAAAGGGTTGCAAGGATCGCATTGATTTTGATATGGTTTAGCTGCTTGTTCCGCCAATCGACACGTTGCTAATTAAGATCTGGCAGTCCCATTTGCCTCGGGTCGCTCTCATCCTCTGACACCAATTTTGATGTGAGGAGTTCACCCAATTCGCCGCATCTAACAAGATTGCCAACCACGGTCAAGCGGAAGACTGGGTGGCGGGCAACATCTACAGCACAATTTTCGGGGGCTGGAAGCAAGTGTGATGCAGCACCAGAGATAGTCCAGGAGGACAAATACTCGGGAAACGCGGATGAGTCAACTAGCATTGCAGGCAAGACGCACTTTGTACCTGCGGCTACAGGATTGGCAACATCCCTAAGTCCAACACGATTGGAGACGACCATGCTGGCAACAGCATCAGCTGAACACACCGTGCCCTGGTCGCAAGCTGGGTCTGCTGAGGAAAATCGCCTTGGGCGAAGGCGTGAGGATGACGATATCACTGCCGCGCCTCCTTCGCCTCTCAGTCCGAAACGGGTGACCAGGGGTAATTGCACCGAGGCCAAGGGCCGCGATTCACGGCCAGTGTTGAGTGCGATGCCCGACGATACTGGGTTGGCCAAGGAGGGCGGTGCGCGACAAGGCCCGCTGCTTCAGCCCGACCATAGCCCAAGCCTGCTCACAAACGACAACAATCAAAGTCTTTGGCCTTCATTCGCATTTTGCGGCCTCACCGCGAAGAATCGCGAGAGATCACTCGAAAACGAAATTCTAGTCTTGCGTGGATGCCGGCATAGCTTCCACGCCCGCTGCCTCACGTCGTGGTTTCTCCAAGATGGCTTCAACTGCCCGCTGTGCCGGACACCCTTCTGGATGCAGCCTGATGCGATGGCGCGCGGCGGTGCAGCGGCCCTCCGCACGCGGGCTTTCCACATGGCGGGAGCCTGCAGCGTAAAGCGCGAGCAAGCGAACTGCACAACCCCCTGAGAATTGACCTCGTGAGGAATTGTCATTAGAGCTGCGTGATCACATCGGATTCACCCACTTTTATCGTCTTTGTCAATTCGCCGGTGGATTTATCATACCCGTTGTGTCAAAGTATGCTGGCTCTGGATATGCGTCGTAGCTCGACGACGGTTGTCCGCTGAATACAACTCTCAACCGAGAACGCAATGTAAAGGGGTTGACCGGCGTTCTTCGACTTGATCTGCGTGACTGGATGTCTCAATGGCAGTGTTTTGTACATTATCTACGTTTCACAACAATGAATTTTGCCATGTTATGGCAATTTATTTGCAAAAAAAAAAAAGAAAACAAAAAGGTACCAAGCCCACAAGCAAGAGCAAGTCTTAAGCCAAACCCCCAATACAAGGAAAAGGCGGGCTAGTCGGAAAATTATGAACACCTGAGCTTCAAAGCACGATACTGATATACTACCGTAAATTTCGATCACACTAGCGATTGTGAACGTTGTTGGCTCTGCTAAACACCCAAGTCTTGATTCTCATGGCGAGACTACATCTCTACCAGGGCTGAATCCCCTGAAGTGAAATGATCTTGCCAGCATCGGCATCCTTTTCGCCCTCTACGACTTTCCTGATGAGTGTCGCGCCGACCGAGGGGTCGAGCGCCCCATGCCCCTTTTTACTGTCTGAATAGCCTCCAAGACCTGTCGCGAGAAATCCAGGCGAGACGCACCAGACCTTAACCCCGTCGCTGCCTAAGGTCCTGTGCCATTCGCTACGGCCATGTCAGTATACGTGTCTCTAACGAGGTATCATCAGTATTTGGCGTACCGCATGAGCATATTCATCCCCGTCTTGCTGCACCGGTATGCTGGAAGGTCGAACATCAAGTTCGTCGCCTTGGGCCATCCCTTGGCCGGCGGCTGGTTGAAGGGCATAGCGAGATTTTCCGATCCCGTCAGAGTCGAGGTGCCGCTCGCGATGAAGATGATCCGGGGATCATCAGAGGACAAGAGGAGGGGGGCAAACGTCATCGTCACGATGTGTGCACCTGTCGTGTTAACGTCCCACGTCTTATTCCAGGCTTCTCTGACGGACAGCTTTCCGAGAGAGATCTGCTGATCTAGCTGGGTGCCTGCTTCAGGTTAGTGGTGAGACCTCTGGCGGGGTAGGCCCTAGTCCTTCACTTACCGGCGTTGTTCACGAGGGTGTCAAGCTTGCCAAACTTGTCCTGCACCCATGCAGCAGCCTTCTCGATTGAAGCGTCATCCGCAACATCGATCTGAACGGAGTACAGAGTGCTAGACGTGCTCGGAAACTCAGAGGTGAGTTGTGTGATGGCTTTGGTCGCATTGTCGAGGCTGCGGCTGCCGATGATGATAGAGTATGGTGTCCCGGTCTGGAGGAGGTTCCTCACAAGCTCGAGCCCGAGGCCCGTGTTGGCGCCCGTGATGAGAATAATCTTCTGTTGAGTACTCATTGCTGTAGATATAGTCTGAAGTGCTTGAATATGCATCACAACATCATTTGCTTGCGGCTTGGCTCGGTTTTTGTACAGCATCTCAACCGCGAGCACGGCGTTAGTTCTCCGGGCTTAAGTCCGGCAGATGGGGGTGTTGAGGTCGGAAATCGCAACCCGCGATCTATCTCCGTGTCTTGATCACCAGAACTCCTCTTGAAGCAACGGACGTGTCGGATCATGGCTGCATCTGGGGTCGCTAGAATTCAGGTTGAGCGGGAAGTTACAGCAAAATTACGCTATGCACCTTTACACCAAGGGGCAGCCCATTCTGCTCAACCTTGCCGGTAGATTTCGGCGTTCCTGGCTTCTCGCCTGGATAGCCGTCTCATCCAGGAAGCGATGGGCGCGGAAATTTAATCACAATGCATTATGAGCCTGGCGTTTGATGAGTGTGTTGTCTGGTGACGGCCATGACTTTTGTGTGTCTGGCAGGGGTTGAGGGTCGATGACAGCCTCAGCAAGTGAAGGTTTCTCCCACCATCACAACAAATTATCAAGTACAGACACCCACGAGCGGGTTAAAAGAGTTGGTTTATAGAAGTAGCATTCCTGTGTCTTGTCCGATTCAGTCAAAGTACATCTCACCGGTCGTGGTTGACGTGCAATTTCTTTCTCCGTCGACCTCGGCAATTAGTGGGGGCAGCTTAGCATCCTCGCCTCGAGGGACGTGATGGGGATGACGATGTCACAGATGCTACGATGTAAGACTTTTGCATTTTATTTACACGGTTAGGCCCTGATTTAACAGGTGTACTTCCACATGAGGCGTTAATAAGCACTGTTGTACCAGCCCAGCGCTGCTGCTCCGGGCTCGAAGGACAAATGAACTGCATCCCATCCAGCCTCCAGTCTTCCGATTGGCAGTGCTTTGGTTCTTGATGCCTCGATTTCAACCAGCTCTGCTTCGTTCGTCGGCAACAGCCCGACAAGAGCCAGTACCTCCTCTGGTCTTATGGTCCTCCGGTTGTTCTTGAACACGTACCGGGCTACCGAGGATGCAAAAACCGCCTTCAACTTTTCCTCGGCATCCTCTTGATCATCACTCTTTTTCTCCGCAACTTGGCTTTTCTGCGAGCGCCCCCCTTTCCCGGGTTGCATCACATACTCGGAGGGCTTAAATTTGTCGGCGCGTACAAAGTGGGTGACGACGTAGAGCCACTTGTCATCCCACGAGATGATTCGCGTCCACAGCTCGTATGCCTGGTACGGCTTGATCTCCCTGCGCCACGTACACGTGGTGCCTCCCAATATCATGGTAAAGTGCCTGGGGCCGGGCATGGGGTTGAAAGGCTTGCTGAAGAGAACAAGGCTGAAGTTGCCTCTCGACATGTCCATATCGGTAAAGTACGTCGAGTTGGACTTGTGGAGGTTGTAGTCGCATTCAAGCGCCGGCGACCGCGTTCCACTGATGGCGGGGAGAAACAGGCAGCGTGGTGACAGGTGTTTACTCGGGGCTCGGTCGGTTAGGCGACGGACAAAGGCACGCAGAAATCGGAGCTGCGACGCATGGATTGTGAGAAAAACAGACTGGGCAATTTGCATTTCTCGGGACTCCCTCTTTTGAGTATTGACTTACAAACCACATAAATGGCAAGCTTTTGAGGTTGGCGACGGCGAATAGCACGGCTAGATTCCGCCAACTTATGACGGAGGCGGCTGCCGTCCAATGCGCGGCAGAACCAGACCAAATAGATGACATCTTTGCGGCTCGGGACGGCACTAACACTGGAGTTGCGTGCAGGTGTTTCTAGTGATCGAATGCTCGAATTCGGGCCAAAACAGGACTGCCAGGGCAACATATCATTGTAGATGGTCTACTATATAACCTAGCTGCCTTGAACATCTTACGTCTATTGAATAAGGCAAATGAGTTCTTTTTCCCTCTTTGTTGAGGGCCTCGGTGCGTTCCCGCCTTTGTTGAGGAAAACCTGGTGTCGTCGGGTCAAGAAAGATACCCCGTTGCCCCGTTGCCCTGGCCAGCAACTGGTCTGATTTGCCACAACTTGAGGAAAAGGGGTCGTTGGCGACCTCGGTACTTTGTGGGTCCCGGGCCCTCTGAACACGTCAATTTGCGACTTTCAGTTTGAGTACTAGGAAATTCGGTATCCAACTCGACAAATCTTGACAATTTGCAATACATTTTCGGCAGGCTTCGATCACAAGCTGGGAAGGCGAGGTTCGCGTTTGCTATACCTCGGCTGCGACCCGGCATTCCAAGGTATTGACTAGTGAACTTGACCAGAATATGTCAATATAGGAGCGCCGTGGACGACTACGTGGGTGACATGTTGAAGAAGAACATGCCAACAAATCAATCTTCGGACGCCCTGAATACTTCAACCAAGCACTTTCCCCCCATCTCAAGAGTCTAACTTTTGAACATGTCGTCCTCCGTTACGATCCCTTCTTATGTCTCCCTACCGTTCAAGGACATTAAGATAACCCATGTTCCAGAATCCTCCCCCTCACCAACTCCAGTCTTAATCATTGCCTTCAATCGGCCTACACGGCATAACGCTGTCACTGAGAATTTACTGGATGAACTTGAGGCGGCTTATGATTTAGTGAACCGCGATGAGCGGGTCCGTGCCATCGTTCTCACCGGCTCAGGACAATCCTTCTGCTCGGGAGCCGACCTCCAGGTGGGGTTCTCAAGCCTCATGGCCCATAAAGAAAGCGAAGAGGCCATGGACAAGTACAGAGATCAGTAGGCCGTTACGATTTTGCCATGCCTCCCTGCATGAGGTGCTAACATATTGTGTCCCCGCAGAGGCGGCCGCCTGGCGCTGGCGATGACCAACTGCACAAAACCGACCATTGTCGCTCTCAACGGCCCGGCTGCAGGCTTCGGTGCGACCATCACCCTCCCCGCCACAATTCGTGTCGCTTGGTCTGGCGCCAAGATTGCCTTTCCATTCTCTCGCCGCGGTCTCACTCTCGAGTCGTGCAGCGCATTCTTTCTCCCGCGTCTTTTGGGCCTCGCCAAGGCGATGCATCTCGCAACCACAGGTTCGGCTTACGCAGCCTCCGACCCGTTGGTCAGTGGTCTATTCTCCAGGCTCCTCCCGACGCCTCAGGAGACAGTGGCGTACGCCGTTGAGCTGGCTGCCGATGTTGCCGACAACACATCCCTGACAAGCACGAAACTGATGAGGGATATGATGTTGCACACGCCCATGACGCTAGAGGAGACGCATAGGCTGGACTCCAAGCTGTTCATTTCCGTGCTCGGATCCAAAGATAACTTGGCAGGCATTCAAGCATTTATGAAGAAGCAGAAACCCAAGTTTGGCGGGTCTTTTGATGGCGAGACGGTGCCTTCTTGGCCCTGGTGGACGTCGAAGGCTGATGAGGCCCCAAAGGCGAAGATGTGAGACGCCATGTATGACCTGAGAGGATTATGGACCAACAAGATGAAACCCAGATGATAACTTCATTTGATGAGTGATTATGGATAAAAATCTCCGTCTCTTGTTCTGTCAAGAACACTGAGATACTTCGTTGAGTGTCTCATGTCCATCCGTCTAGAGCCTGTGTGAAGTCCCCAGGCTCAAACAGCCCAACAAGATCTTGGCTGTCCAACCAGGATTCATTTCTGATATCCATATTGTCAGTATGCATCTCACAAGCGTCAAAAGGCAAGGCCGGCTTTTGAACGAGGATGGCCGATCACTCACTGAGCACCAAGCATATTGGGCCACATCCACGCGTCTGAGATGACGTTGGCCGACAAGGCAGAGTAGCCCTCGGGCCAGCTCTCCCGTGGTGAAAGAGGAGCCTGTTCCTGCGCGACGAGGTCGACAATGACAGCGTCACCTTGTGGTTGGTGAGAAGGCCTCCGTGAACTTCTTGTCCCATCGATCTTTTTAATCGCCGCCTCGAATAGTTTGTATGCGGCAGTTGCCGAGATGTACGACTTGCGCAGCTCGCTCATAGCTAGCATACACAGGGCTAGATTGTGTTTTCCCATCTGGCTTGATAGGGGTTTAAAAGACGCTGATTCGAAGAGATGAACATGCATCGGCGGAACGAGTGCTATGACACTGAGAGGAAGAGTCAGCAAGAGCAGTGTCGACAAGAAAGTTTGCCATCCTACGTTATAGTATGTGATAGGCCGATCAGCTCCTCGGCCATCATTGAAGTCACAGCACTGCAGGCGTTTGACGCAGCTACCCTTGTCTTTTGGCAAGCTAGTGCTCTCCATGGCTCCTTGTTCTCCAGCGTGACATCCCGAGGGGCCTCGAGGATAAATGGTCGATACAACACAATGATCGCTGCCCTGAAGCAGCCGTCAGTCATCAACTTCGTAACCTTGATCGGGGATGAAGAGCAGACGAGACTTGTTCATCAAACCACTTACTCAAAGTAGATTCGGAACTGATAGCGATGGGAGGCAGCCACACGACTTTGATGTTCAGTTGCAGGTAATTCGTATGAGCATGCTCGAATTTCCCGCTCGCAATGTTCAACATCAGACCTTGTCGGCTTCGTCGGCTTCGCCCTGTAATGTGTAGAGAGGATAGTGCCCAAGGTAATACTCAACTTGACCAATGTCTTCCAAAGGGTTTTGAGTTCGCTAAGCTCCCCTGGCAGGTACTTGCCACAAGAACCAGTCCTGTTCTCCGGCACGAAGACTTCTGCATCAAAGCGTTCAGGCTCTGGTGTATCCATATCGTCCAGAGGGATCCGCATCGGCCGTCCCTGGCCCAACGATAACCAGACTTCACGACAGCAGATAGACCACCAAAGCCCTCGCCAGAATGGCTGAATATTACCACAGCCTTGAGAAGGTAACTTGGGTAGCCTGTGTAAACCGATGGTGTGAGACAGACTAATTGCGATGCCGTTCCAGTGCCAGGGGCCCTGTCGGTCGTCTGAGGTAGTGTACCAGAATCCCATCAAAAATACCGACTGGATGAGAGTGATCTTATCTTGCTCGTAGTTCAGATCATAAAGAACCTTTGTAGTTGTCAGCGCTTAAAGAATTTGCTAGAAGCTAGTTTCTGACCTTTGCTCGCTGATACACAGAACGTTTCAATGACGTGCGAGACGTGTAGAAGTCTTGTGTGAGCAGAGCATCATCAACAAACTTCACGAAAGAGTTAGGATTGGGGTATGTCGATGGGGTTTTAATGGTTGACTTGCACTTGCCGAGGCCACGAACATACTCCAAAGCAGCAGAATGCTGACCCGACCGCTTTCATAGTCCAGGATGAATTGACGAGGGTCAAGGATGGGAGAGAAGGGATGCACATGGTGGAAATAGCAGCGTATGAGTATTTCTTGTATATGCGGTGCAGGCAGGTCGAAAGCACCTCTCGACCGAAGATAATTGACATCCTCTGGTGCAAGTAATTTCGTTGACGGCGTGCTTACCAGGCAGTGATTATTCGTCGAGGATCTTTCTGGCTCGCAAATATCCATTACGAAAGCCGGACCACGTCGGTCACCTATGCGGGTCAGATATCGGAACGGCAAAGCGTGGATTGTAGCACAAGGCGATTTTACCAGCATAGAACGGAATGCCGTTTCGCTTGCTGCCACTGCCACCTTCTAACGTCTCCGCATATGCCGAACTTTCGTCGGTGACGTCGAAGCATTCCGACACATGTCGGGATACTGGCGTTGAAGAGCATAATTGTGGACCGGCGCTTGAACGCGATGCGGGAGTAGCAGGGCGCGAGTAGGCGGCTGCACTTACTGCCAGGGAATTTGGCAGATCTTGAGCGTTGCGTGAATCACGAAGGGCAGCGTCACCGCCACTGTCTCTTGTTTGCAGCAGTTCGTTGAACGGCTGAGAGGCTCTGTCGGCTTGGATTGACTCTTTGACGGACGGCGAAGCGGAAGTCGCAGGCGGCGGAGCTATAGGCACTCTACTGAAGCTGGATGTAGATGCTGCCGATGAATCTTCTTCATTTTCTCTGGCATGAGCAAGAGACGGCTGCAGGTCCAGGTTCCTTAGTCCCCATCAGTCTCACGCGTATTGGTCTTTGGTCGCAACAAGGTCTCTCCTGCTCGACAACGTAAACAAGACTTACCGCCGTCGCTTGCGGCGCGAAATCTCACATGGCGTGTCATCCACCGCACAGTTGGCGCAGGGTGGACCTGAGAGAGCCACTGTACACCTTACTTTGCGCAAGCTGCATGCGGTGCACGCGACAGCCGCGCGTTTGGAGGCACGTGTCTTCGAAATGGCCGGTGAGGGTCTGCTATCCTGCCGCAGCATCTTGCTGAATGAGCAACAAGCCGCTGTTGAAGGCGGGATGCAAATCTTAGATACTACGAGGTGGCGTACCTAGGATGGCATGATAGCTCGCTTCTGTGGTTCCATGTGATTGAGGCCGATTATGTAACCAACCTGCATCTCATCGCTTCCCGATTCGTTTCCCGGTCGGGGTAGGTGTCTAGGTACGTACCTAGGTAGGAGTAGATATGTAGTGGCACTGTTCCTATCAACGGCAACCGTCCTTCAAACAGATTCTGCTTGCTTGACCAATCATGCCTGATCAACGGAGGGACAGCCAAATTGATATGGGAGTACTCGTACACCAATACTTGGTGAGCACTGAGATCATGTTCCCCAACGAAGTGTATGTTGGAAGGTAGGCGACATCCTCAACAGGAAGAAAGGCCTGACATTGATGATGTGTCAGTAGCCTCCCTTACCTTATTGGGACTGCCATGTCAGGACCGGTGAATTATGCATGGGTTATGACGTTTCGGCCGCTGACTTGTGTGTTGTGCGCCTCTGCGTGCGTGAGACAGAGACTGAGCATGCACCTGTGCTCAAAGCTCAGGTAGCATAACGACGACGTCATTCTTTGCCTCACCCTTGCTGTTTCCCGTTTCCCTCTCCTGCCAGGTCCAATCCTACCAGCGCACTGCGCCTGCCACCCCTAGTTTAATCTGATTTCAGCTCAATCTACATTCCAATGAAATCGACTTTACCTCGTACCTGCCTTCTCCGGGCAGGCAAGGTATCCAAGCCGGTAGGAGCTCCAGTGGTCTCGATCCCGATCGTACATGCCAGCTCCACCTCGTCATGATGTCCCCGTCAGGTGCAACCCTTACCCACCAGGCGTCCCCCGTGGCATCTGCTCCGTTCAACGACGACATCATCCGTCTCAAGGAATCATTCCAATTGTCTAGTGTATCCTCTTTTCCTCTTGCATTTTTTTTTGGCTTGCTTTTGCCACGGAGAAAAAGTGACTTACCAGCGCTTCTCCCGTCTTACGACCAGTGTTGCACTCCATTGATCCAACTCGCGTCATCCTTTCCTGAACCTTGAGCCTCGAGCCTTGGTCTGCTCGCGTCGTAATAAGTAAACCACCTACCTAATTCTTCTGGGCTACTACCATCAGTTACGCCAAACTCAACACTGTTTGACAGTGACGCTCGTCTGAAGAGGCCAGGCCCTCCAATCGACCCAGCGATCAACTGCCCAGCTTATCGACGTGCTGTCGAAATACTTGTGCCTAGACGCGCATTCGGTCATCTGGCGTCCCCCGGCTACGAACACCCTAGCTGGCTCCTGAATCTCCCCCCCCCCCGCTATTCACAGTCTGTAGGGACACCGGGGTTTACTCCGATCGCCCAAGCCAATCAGTCGAATCACAGGCAGGTTGTACCGCCCAGCTTGTCACCTCACCCACCACAGCGACACCGTCAAGACGCCCCTGGCCAGCTGTATCCGACGCCGTGCTCTGCCTCCACCGGCCTACCATCTCCCCCTTCTCGTCCTTCTGCATGAGGAGCATTCGTTCCGGCAGGGCCAATCAAGTGCATCATTGCTTGGCGTGGTCATTCGCGGCTGGATCGTTGCCAGTCGGCCAACGTCCATCCCCTTTGCAGCCCCAGTCATCGTTCTCGACTCGAGCCGCATGTGGTGCTAACCACATTATTCCCATCACACATATACCCAGACGTTTCTCCAGCATGGCGTCCAAACGTAGAAGATCCAGCACTTCCATTGCTCCGACAAAAATTGGCACAGAGAACAGCAGTAGGAAAGCACAGCGCAAGACTTCACCAACCACACAAGAACCTCCGAGGAGATCGGGTCGTCATCGCACAGCTGACAGCAAGCCTGTCAAAGAAGAGGCCATGGAGGCACCCACCAGCGCCGCCGCGCCGCCGCCCCCATCTCTCGAGCAAGACACCCCTGCGAGACGAAGAGATGCCGCTAGACAGGTCGCAACACCACGCAAGTGTGTCTCCGATGTGATGAAGGAACTCAGTGACATGGAGGAGCGCCTGCAAAGCTCTGTCAAGCGTCAGCGCTTGGCCATTCAGGATTCGGGTCTTGTCGATGATGTTCCCCCACGCCGCCCTCTCAAACCTCAAGCGGCACGCAAAAGTCGCAATGTGGTTCGAGAGAACCTAGCCAATGGCGTTCGCATGGCCATCTCCGTCGATGAAATAGAGCACGCCCCGTCACTTGATACTGACGCCATTGCCGCCGCCAACGACATTGAGGCCGACGCCAATGATAGGGAGCAAGAGGCCGAAGAGGAGCCGGCGGAGCGCGGCGCTGCACGACCACCGCCCGTGAATAGCAACCATCTCCCTCTCCCGTGGAAGGGCCGAATTGGATATGTAGGTGGCAACCTCGATTTTTTCAATGCAAGAAAGCTTACCTTGTCTGTAGGCCTGTCTCAACACGTATCTTCGAGAAGCAACTCCGCCTGTTTTCAGTTCCCGCACTTGCAGGATCGCGTCTATCATCCAACACCGCCATCCTTTGACAGACCCATCTCAGCCCGAACATTCCACTAAGAACAGGCCAGATGAATCCAAACCTCAGAACATGAGGCTCGGCCAAGAGTATGTTGAGCGCTTGGGGTTGGCGAACGCGCATGACATAGTCAAAATGATCCGGTGGAACGATAAATACGGCATCAAATTCATGCGACTCAGCTCCGAGATGTTCCCCTTCGCTAGTCACGCTGAGTACGGATACAGTCTCGCGCCATTTGCTTCTGAGGCACTAGCTGAGGCCGGATCTGTTGCCGGAGAGCTCGGTCATCGCTTGACGACTCATCCAGGGCAGTTCACTCAATTGGGCTCGCCGCGGCCTGAGGTTATTAAGGCTGCTGTTCGCGACCTCATATATCATGATGAGCTTCTCACGTTGTTGCACTTGCCAGAACAGCAAGACCGCGATGCCGTCATGATCCTGCACATGGGAGGTACCTACGGCGATAAAGCTGCGACGTTGGATCGATTCCGGACGAATTATGCAACGCTCTCGCCTTCGGTGAAGAATCGTCTCGTCTTGGAAAATGACGATGTGTCTTGGACAGTTCATGATCTTCTACCCATATGCGAGGAGCTCAACATCCCACTTGTCCTCGACTTTCATCACCACAACATCCTTTTCGATGCCACAGAATTGCGCGAGGGCACAGAGGATATCATCGCGCTCTTTCCACGCATTCGAGCCACATGGACACGAAAACAAATTACCCAGAAGATGCACTACAGTGAGCAATGCCCTAGCGCTGTAACACCCAGAGATAGGAGAAAGCATTCCCCTAGGGTACGCACACTCCCGCCGTGCGCAAACGACATGGATCTCATGATCGAGGCCAAGGACAAGGAGCAGGCAGTCTTCGAGCTGATGCGGGCCTTCAGGCTGCCAGGGTACGATACCTTCAATGACCTGATACCGCACATGCGAGACGATGACCACAGACCCGTACCGAAACCTGTGAGTAAAGGGAAAAAGAAAACGCCGACGAAGAAGAAAAAGATCAAAGGGGAAGACGACGACGTTGACATGGACAAGGTGGAAGATCTAGAGACAGACATGCCAGAGACGGTGCGTACGCCAGTCTCTGCTAAAGACTTTGGTATGGGCGGACCACAAAACCGGGTGTACTGGCCTGAGGGTATGGAGGCTTGGCTGAAGCCGAAGAAGCGCGAGGTGAAGAATGTCCCAAAAGTGACGCAAGTCGCCGCTTGAGACAGGCAGTCAAGTAAATGGAAGTTGTGTGTCTCGCTGAGGTCGAACCTCGGATTGAAACTTCGTACAAATGGCATGAACATGCAGGCACGCCGTGGCTTGTTGGATATTGTATGAAGCTAACAAACTCGAATGTCAAAACGAATTTGCAGTACCAGGAAGGAAAACCACGGATCCCCGCAAGACCATGAGAAAGGGCTTTTTGTCGTATGATAAGCGGAGGCATGCCGACAGAGATATGCCTGACGTGACCCCCTGACCCGCGTCGACTCCGATACTTCTCCGACGCGAGGGGCTCTCGCAGTTCTTGCAGTGCAGTCCATGCCGCTATCTTAACCCCTACTTGTTCTTTCGCGGTCCACTGATCGGCACCCGGAGCAAGATGGACGTATCGCAGGAGGTTCCGATGCGAGGGGTTGGATACCCCGCGTCTCCACCAAGGATTCATTGCGGGTGTCTACATCATTGCCTCGGCTCTCTTAACAGTGCATGACTGAGCGAGCGGGCTCCAACAGTTCAGAAGTGAGACCTGTTCGAAGGGTTATCGTGGGTGATGGGGTAGATGAAGCCTGGCAACGCGATTTCGGCAGCGGCTCTTGTGGCCTCCGAGGCGTCATCTGTGTCAGCTTCGGGGCCGGCCCCGCTCCGGAGGTGGTAGGGGTCTGGAGTCGGGAAGTTTGGACTTGACTGGAATAGGGAGGTGAGATCGGTTCGTCGGGGCGGGGCCACAAGGTGCGGGACAGACAGGAGGACTTTGGTATTGTGGGGTGAGGGTTCCTCAGTTGCAGAATGTTGACCCAGTGGCCTGCCGAGAGGCCTTGGGAGGGTTAGTTCAGGCTTGTTGATGGTGCTCTCTGTGACGATCCCGGGGGTTAAATGTGAGGCCGAGAATTTGCATAAGAGGGCCAGGAGCCTGAACGATGAGGAGTCGTGTTGAGAATGTTTCAAGAACTCATTTTCTCGTGGTGTGTTATCGTCATGGCCCGACTTCATGCTGCTGCTCTACTCTTTGCTCTCGCGGCTCCGGCCCTGGCGCAAAACTGCTCGGCGCCTGGTCCCGGCAACAACACGGCCAGCGTGCACTTCAAGGCTGTTTCGGACTACCTCGACTTGATCTCGGACGACCTGTGGCCGCTCAACAAGGAAATTCATGACAACCCTGAGCTGGGATACGAGGAAGTGCAGGCGCACGACCTTCTCACGTCCTTCATGGAAAGCCAGGACGGTTGGAACGTGACGCGGTCACTGGGCGGGATCGACACGGCCTTCATGGCCGTCTTTGAGGGCAGCGGAGAGGGTCCTGTCGTGTCTTTCAACGCAGAGTATGGTGCGTACATCATAGGAAAGCCATCCACCGGAATTCCAAACTAATAGCATCCAGACGCTCTCCCGGGCCTCGGCCATGCCTGCGGCCACAACCTCATCGCGACAGCCTCGGTCGGCGGCGCCCTCGCCACGGCGGAGATTATGCGCGCCGAAAGCCTGGCTGGCCGGGTGATACTCTTCGGCACGCCAGCGGAGGAGTCTCTCGGCGGCAAGGTCAAGATGCTTGAAGCCGGTCTCTTCGACGATGCACAGATCGACATCAGCCTCATCTCGCACCCAACGGCCGGCAACGACAGCCCATACATGATCACGACGGCGACGGACCGCTTCGACGTCGAGTACCACGGCCGCGAGGCCCACGCCGCCGCGGGCCCGTGGGAGGGCATCAACGCGCAGGATGCGCTGCTCGTCGCCAACACGGCGCTCGGTTTCATGCGCCAGCAAATGCGGCCCAGCGACAAGGTGCACGGCTTCATCGCGAGCGGCGGCAGCCGCATCAACGTCATCCCCGCGCTCGCGACGGCGTCATACCAGATCCGCTCCAACGACGCCGAGCAGCTGGCCAACTTTACCGAGCGGTGTCGTCGCGGTGCTTCGAGGCCGGCGCGCTGGCGTCGGCGCCGAGATGAACCTGACGATGCGGCCTATGGCTACGCCAACATGGTGTCCAACGACGCGCTGGCGGGGTCGTACACGACGTGGTTCGAGGGTCTCGGCGGCGATATCGAGGACCCTGTCATCGACAAGAAGCGTGATCCTTCAGGCAGCACGGACCAGGGCAATATCAGCCATGACTTCCCTTCCATCAGCCCCTACTTCGGCATCACCAATGAGGACGGCAGCCAGCCGGCGGGCGGGCCGCACACGACAGCTTTCGAGGTCGCTTCTGGCAGTCGGGCGGCGTTTGACAAGGCCATCATGGTAGCCAAGAGCCTTGCCGGTGTGGCTGTTGATGTGCTGACGGTTGAGGGGCTGCTTGAGAAGATCAAGGAGGAGTTCGAGCAAACCAAAAAGTCCAGCAAGAGGAAGGCTCGCCGCTAGCCGTAGGACTTCTAGTAAATAAAAGCATCAGACACAAATCGCGGAAATCAAAAATTTATGTACAGATCATTCAACAGTACCGCTGGTCCTGCACCTCCTCTTGTATTAGCCTTCGTGATGCCCGTAAATATCTTGCCACGCTCTCTGCGTGCTTGCAGTCGTGTCTTCCCCCAAGTACACCTGCCGGATGAAGCGGTCTGCCTCCGCAATGATTCTCACACTCTGCTCAACACTCGGCGACGCTGGTTCGCCCATCACCTCCTGCCATCCCTCCAGAAGCTGTCGCAGGTGCTCGCCGGCAGACAAAATCTCTGAGCCAATGAGCTCTCGGAGCGCCGGCACCCGGCAGGCAGCCAAGAGGACGAGCATCGCACCAGCCATGCTAGTCGCCGTTAGTAGAAGTTTGAGAATGATGGCCCGATGTGCTTACGATAGGGAACAGATCCAGGTGTCCACCAAGACGGTCTGTCCATACCCCCTGAGGTTCATGATGTGCAGCAGGCATGCGTCTAAGCACATCTTGCAGCTTGCCATGACCTCCTTTCCAGCGATTCCATCACCTGGACTGCGCACGGCTGCTGGAGGTGCCATGCCGCTCAGCATCCACATGAAGTAGGGCCGATAGATCACGCTTCGGCATGTAGAGTACCGCTGCCTCAGAAAGGCACCAGCTTCGGTGGCGGTGGGGGTTTCGTCCACAGTGAACGCAAAAGCAGGAGGAAGGACCTCGCGCCACTCGTCGAGTTGGTGATTGAGTTCGCGGACGACTGCAGGGAACCGGGTGGGATCGAGAGCAGCTCCAGTAGTCTGAGCGTAGAGTAGGTGGTGAACGCGGTTCAGAAGCCGTCGCATGGAGATACACGCCAAAAGGTAGAGAGAGGCAAGTTCCTGTTGATGTGCGTCGGCATGGGTATGGTATTCGCCTGGTAGGGGCGTTGTCGATTCAATGGCAGAAATTCCTGACTGTGGCAGGGCAGAAAGCTCGGCGAGATAATCGCTGCTGTATGTTAACAAACTGACCATGGGGTAGCCGTGCCTAGCCTCCTGTTTCAAGCTTACCTCTCTAGGATATAACAGGACCAAAATATGCGTCTAATGCGCTCGCTGTCTTCCGTTGAGTCGTCCTCTGAAGTGTACGAGAGCAACAGCAGGCATTTGGCTGCAGCAGCGTTGATATACTCCCAAGCTTGGAGCGGGCGACGTAAAAATGCAAAGTACATAGCAACGTAGAACAGGCAGTGGGTTGACGTGCTCCCAATGTGTGTGTGCACGACATGGAGTCTTTTGAGCACGCCGTCGAAGTAAACGTCGGCCATAGCCTTCTTCGATGCGCGTGTCTCACGGTCTTTCTGGGTCAGAGATGTCGTGCCGCTGGCCAAGTTCGCTGTGACCTGCCCAGCGAGACCCAAAGCCATAGTCAGTAACGCCAGGCACACTTCGATGCTGTCCTCTTCAGGCACGCCATTGACTATGAGGGCGCGCACCCCAGCCATTTGCTGCTGAGACATGGTGGGGTACCAAAAGTTCACCGTTTGGCCGAAGGACTCGAGGATTTCGTCAACTTCGCGAGGCGTCACGAAAGGATACCATGTCGATGAACGGGACTTGATCGGAGGTCGAGCTTGCTCGAGACGGAAGATGGGATCGTACCCATCGCGAAGGCCAGGGAAGACGTCAAAATGCGGCCACTGGAGGACGGCCTCGGTGGCTGAGGTGTGCATGGAAGCGAGTACGGCATTGTCGAGGTTGTTCGCCGCCGGCGGCCAGTGGGACTCAGAGAGAGGTGTCCGATGGTGGAGAATCTCGGTACGGGGTGAGGAGGAGAATGAGGCGGCTCTAGGGACGGCGGTGGGAAGGCTAGGCGACGCCATGGACTGGCGAGCGACGATGCTGTTGCTGCTGATGATCCTGGGGTGAAAGGCCGCGGTCTTCGCGGCCGGACATGTGATGAGCCATGTCGGTCAACCAAAGGTAACTGAAGTGGGGTGACTGACGATGGCGGGGATAAGCCGACTTCATCTCATGGAGAAATTTCTCAACACGGAGGACGCTCTCGAGGATGAGGTCACTTTTGCCTCGGCTGCCACAAGGTCAGCCATCCATCATGATGCGAGGGTACACTCGGATCTCACGAGTTGGCTTCGGAGCCGTAGGTACACTCCTGGCGCGAACCATCGCATGACGCGCAAGGGGTGTTGCCATTGCATCTTATCTTCTTGGCACGGCACGCATCACACTGTGTGTGTGTGAAACATGATTAGCTTGTGATGTCTTCAGACGGTGAGACCCTGAAGAGGATGTGCAGCGCCGATCTCAATTGAGAGGCAGAGCGCGTCGTCTCATTGCGGCAGAGAGAGGGTAATGCGGCTCACAGCATGGCTTGTCCGAAGCCTCTTCCTGGCCGGCTCCGAGCCAGATTCGTGGTCCATGACATGACGCGGGATGTCGACCAGTTTGAATCAGTCAATCGCTTGGGGACAAAATGGGTCGTGGTGGGTGCATGGTACGATCCGAAGCGGACCGAGGTGTCGTGAGCAATAGAAAAGGGACTTTGTCAGTGATGGAGAATGCGGAGAGAATGAGAAGGGGCACAGGGACAAAGACCAAAGAAAGACGCGCACAGGCGCCAGGTGCACGTCGCACGAGGCATTGAAGACCTGACCCGACAGCGCGGAAGTTGCGACCTGGGGCCAACCTGCCCTGCGTGTGGCTGGCTGGTGGGTGCTCCCTTCCCGTGCCTGTCCTTAGTGACCTGACACGAGCATCCTGCCTTCCACCTACGGCACTGATGGTGAGGTCGGGCGGGTACGTACCTGCCTTCCACGAGATGCGGGGGCTGCGGGGTTACGCAGACAGGGGGACACCAGCACCTACCGCGGTCAAGCTGTTCACAGCCATCAAGCCATTGTCAAGCCTTGCCAAGCCACAGCAGCCTTTCGACCTGGACGCCTCGTCTGTGGTTTGCGAATGGGCACGGATGAAAACACCAAGCAACACTATCGTCATCAGGTCCCAACTTTGACTTCAACTTGACGCCAGATAACATGGCCTCTCCTGGTCCGCTACCCAGTGGGTTCTGACAACCAGGCAGTTCTCGGAACAATATGCGGCAATGATCAACCCATGCCATGCAGTCCACCAAAAGCCCACCCTCCTCCTGACTGTCAAATCACCACCGCCGTCATGTTGCCGTCTTAGAACCGGTCTGGGCTGCTTTGCAAAGGCTCCCCTCCATATGTGCTGGGAGATGGTCAGCTCGGTCATCCCACCCACCCATGCGTCGCTGTCGTTGGTCACCCAACCCACGTGGTGCCTCAACACCAAGGGACACGTCCGCTTGGTCCCCAACCGCTGCAACTTTAGCAAAAGATCGACAACGCTCGATGGAGCAATGCCAACTTCTAGGCGATATCGTGTCGCGGCAAATGAAAGACATTGGTCGGCCTAAACGCCAAAGATCTCTCGAGCCATTTGCGAAGCCCTCTCAAGGTCTTTCTGCGGTCATGGCGATTCCTCTCTTGGTCCCCAGAGGTGCCCGCAGGAAGAATGCATACAAAAGCCTTGAGCAGCCAAGTGGCTGCGGTGTCAGGATGAAGCTGCAGTCCCATTTCCAAGAGACTGAACCAACGCCGAAGACAAATAATGCATTTCCGATCCGTTGTGCCCATCGCCTTATCCGCGGCTTTTGCAAGCTTCGGCCTCAGTGCCCCTTCAGCAGACCGACCCAACGTCAGACAGCTTTCTGGCTCACTTGCAGTGGTCGAAGGCCAAGAACCTCTGACATTCAAGTACACCACACCTGACGCCTACTCTACAAACTGGGTCGGCCTTTACTATCCAGGAGGCGGCCCTACCAACCAAGTTAAACCAGAGCAATCCCTTGTCTGGGCCTACACTCCTGACTCGGAGGGCACCGTCAAACTGTCTCCATCTGGTCTTCAACCGGGGAACTACTCCGCCTATTTTCTTGCACGGGACGGCTACAAGTGGCTCGCCGAGCCCATCCCGGCCGTTCTGCCTCGTGCTCCGTCTGGGCCCCTTTCCTTTCTCGTCAACGAGGCAACTCTTCACAACGCCCGTCAGGGCGATGCCTATGAGGCTCAAGTCGGAGGCTTCGTTGCCGGTGGCAGCGAGGCTCTGACTTTCTCGCAGGCCTCCAGTGACAACTGGGCCAAGGTATCTCCCGACGGGACCATCACGGGCACACCTGGCCGCACGGCATCCGACACACACATCACTTTGCGCGCAACATCAGGAGATTCTTCAGCTGAAATCAAGCTCACCATCCCCGTTCGCCGTGCTGGTTCTTCTCTCGTCAAGACACTTCGAGTCCTGACTTTCAACATGTGGCACGGGGGCACCCAGGTTGACAACTACCACGAGAAACAAGTCCGCTTCCTTCTCGAGAGCAACGTCGACATTGTGGGACTTCAGGAGGACCAGAGCGGCCGCCACGCTCACCGCCTTGCGCATGCTCTGGGATGGCACTACTGGGCCAGCTCGCGCAGCGTCGGTGTTATTAGCCGTTACCCCATCGCCAAGAAGTATGGGGAGATCAACGCCTCGGGTGGTGTACGCATCGCCCTTGACGGCGATGAGCAACAAATCAACTTCTGGGTTGTGCATCTCGGTTACACACCTTATGGACCCTATGACTTCTGCTTCGATGGCATGGATGTGGAGACTGTCATCGAGCGCGAGACCAAGTCAGGACGTACGCCTCAGATTACCGACACTCTGGCCGCTATGGAGGGACAGATTGCTTCCGCCGAGGATGTGCCTGTGCTTCTCGTTGGCGACTTCAACGCACCTTCCCACCTTGACTGGACGGAGGCTCTCAGGAAGAAGAACTGCGGCTATGCTAACGTACCGTGGCCGACGTCTGTCAAGACTACAGACGCGGGCCTGGTTGACTCGTTCCGCGTTGCGAACCCAGACCCTGTCAAGGTGCCAGGCATCACTTGGTCACCCTTGTTCCCTTTCCACGACGGGGCCACGGGACGCCCTGAGCCGCAAGACCGTATCGACTTTATATACCATGCTGGCAATCTGACGGTCAAGAACTCAAAGGACGTTGTTGTCGGTCAGCCCAAGCCGTCGCCAAATCACAAGCAGAATGAGTGGACCACGGACCATGCGACTATTTTGACGACGTATGAACTGCCTGCTTGAAATCTTGGAGGCTTTTGAACGTCACGAAGATATGTGTTGTGGAAGTTGATTGATTGATTGTACATCACTACTTTTGGAGTGTCAACGTATGATATCACTATGCTATGACTGCAATTCAACTTTGCAGGGACTGGGAGGGAAATTGGGAGGCACGGCAGATGCCCGAATCTATGATTTGCTTACGACTACGACGCCGGCTTTTTCGCTCTCTAGCACTGAGGAGGTGTTGCGAGAACCTTGAATTTCTCTAGCTCTGGAACATGGATATTTCACATGTGCATGATCCAGGTTAGAAAGTCACAAGCAATTTGTACACACCTTACTACATGTATGCAAACGGAGCACGAGGAGTGATCTCATATCAGTATGATAATTTGCTTGTCAGAACCAACTGTCGCTCATTCTGTCTGCTACGTTGATATGTAGGCTGAAGACTCTCGTGCGTAACATTACCGATCCCCTCGGAAAAGCTGGCGGCAAAGCGTCGAGTTGAATCCTGCAGACGGCCTACGTAACCAGGCGCCACCTTGCGGACTCACCCGAAATCCCCAGCCGTCCGGACCCCAGTAGGTCAAGTTCCTTGAGCCGGAGCCTCCAAATCCTGAGCTGGATCGATAGGCAGGGCTGTAACTACAGCAATCTGAGCATGAGCTGCCGTATCCCGAGCTGGAACCATAGCCGGAACCATAGCTGCTGTAATCTGAGCTTGATCCATAGCCGGAACCATAGGTGCCGTATCCAGAGCCGTAGCCTCCATACCCAGAGCCGCTGCTGCCGTAGTCAAGGCTGGATCCGGAGCCGAAGCTCCCATAGCCAGAGCCGCTGCTTCCGTAGCCGAGGCTGGATCTATATCCGGAGCCATAGCTACCGTAGTCCGAGCTAGACATGTACCCCATACTAGAGCTTGTGCTTCCGGGGCCGTACGAGGAGGATGACGAGCGTGCGAGATCCAGATAGTCCAGGTTTGACGAGGATGAGGAGGGGTATCCTGAGCTCATACTGCCACTGCTATGAGGGTAATAAGTTAGCATGGGTGGCTGCCTGTATGACATGTAGGGGTTGAAAGGGTGGGAACTGCCAATGTCAGTATCAGTGCTTGGTTCCGAGTAGCCGTCGAATTCGTAATGAAACCCCGACATGGTTGATGTAGTTATATCTCTGGGTGTTTGAGGTTTGATCAAGTGCTTGTGTAGATTGTCTTTTCTTTGTCGACGGAATGTGAAGTGGAGATTGAAGAGTAAATTGACAGTTGCCAATGCATGGAGCCGATATATATATGTATATTCCAGGATATCCTCTGTGAGGTAGTGAAACAGAGCTGATTAGCAAGCGCACTATGTACGGGCTGTGCCCATAACTGCCAAATCACGGATCCACCTCATGAGTGTCCATATGCAGGGTGGTATTCACGGGCACCTCGAGCTTGGGGGATATCATCAATTCAGCGCGGTGAGACGCAAAAAGTCTATACAAAGTCGTCGCCATGTTCGTGCGCTGTCCTTGATTGACCTTAAAACTCCGTCTCCGCTCCACAAGACAAAAGAAATGGGGGGTTTCCCGCAGGATTTTGCACACCTGAAATACAGAACAGGCGAGTTGGTTGGGGGGGTATAAGCAGACTAAAAGAAGAAAAGGCCAGATAATACCAGATATCCAGTGTGTTTGGTGGGGGGGGGATGTCGTGCGCTTTGTGAAGATCGCTGATGCCCCGAATTACGCCGCCAGCAGGGGAAGAAAACCAAGTGAAGGCCATGCAGCACGCTCATGCCGCTGCATTAGCCTCCTGTCGAAGTGCCGCTGGTCCTTGGAAGCCCGTGGCGGGCGGCACGTTGCGCAGCTCCATGCCCTGTGCGTCTCTGTCCTTGATCGACTTACGGTCGCGCAGATCACCAAGGCGCTGGTCGCCAGGTTGGTATCTGGCCTTGAAGCTGTAGTGCGTGGGAGGTCGGGGCCGGCAGAGAACGACGAACCAGTTCTTGAGCATGCTTCCTTGCGTGAAAGCACGGAACCGCTCCTGCTTGATGAACTTGTGCGAGTTGATGTACTCCCTGGTCGTC